CGGTTACTACCCGCCCCCCCCCCCCCCCCAAAAAAAAAACCGTTCAGCTGTTTTCCGTCACCTTGAGTGACAATTGATGAATGATTATTGCGATACAGATTGAACATACTTGAAACGAATATATTGTTTGTGAGAAGTGAATTTAATAGTAAAATTCAAGAATGACTCAAAGGGTGTGTGCGCCCAGTGAAAAGGACTAGGTTCCTTCTAACCCTGAAGGGATAAGTGCAGGGCGAACTAGACCGGTCATTCATTTTTGTGTTGACGCTGCCAACAGATGTGTAGTTGAAATGTTATCGAGTAGCAAATATTCCTACTTGGAAATTTACCAAACAGTATCCCGGAAATTCCACTTCGTGAATCCAGGCGTCAACGCGCCAAATACTTATTAGTTTTAGATGTCCATAAAGCTAATTGATTTGGAAGTCCTGACAGGAGGGTCAATCGGTCGACGAGACCGGACCATCATTCGGGAAGCCAGGTAAATCAATCAAATCGCCCAGGAGGGAACACCCTCACCCACTCAGACGTGATCGTTCAAGTGAGTCTAGACTGTGTTGGTGGAGCAGTGGCAACAAGCTCGCCCAGGGATTCACATCCCAGCGGGTCCCTGGCGATGAGCGAAACTCGAGTCCGCCGTCTCCATCGTTGGTGTGGATTCACCAGAAGGCTTGCGCCAGGATAGGAGAAATGTTCAAGCATGTAACGTGAAAGCCGAGTTCAGCCGTAACTGTTATTGGACTTAAGTAAGCCAATAGAACCAGGCTGACTTATAATCATTTCGGATTCATTTTTATCCCTTTAACCCACAAAAGCATGATCATTAGAGATGTCAACTCAATCAAATAGTATCGATTGGTGCGTTTGTTGATCTTGTATTTATTTTGCGCAGTGTAGTTGTCGTACTTCGCCTTTCCTATTCGGCAGGCGAGTTTTTCTACTCTGCTGACTGGATGGCATGAGGTGTGTGTGTGTGTGTGTGTGCAATTAAGTGCTCGGCGTTGTCATTGGAACAGAGGTGCATCGACCGGCAGAATCAGAACTACACCGTCAACTTACGGTGAAGACGGGGCAATTGAAGCGACACTGGCGATCGTGTCCGCAGATCAGCTGCATTACATGTGAATTAACAACGGTTGTTCGGTTGCCGCGGCAACCAGTGTCCTTCACCGACGATAAGGAAAACAAAGCAATAAGAACCACACGTTGGGGGTGATCGTTCAGTCTGTGCACTGATGGCAAGTCGATTTGGCATGGCAGTGATTGAGAGCTGCGCGGCAAAGATGATAGCTTTGAAGCAAGACCGCCATTGTCTGTGTGGCATAGCCGCATTGGTCAGAGTCACTAACCATTGGCTCGTCTCGTCGTGCGGTCCCTATCCGGCGGACCAGCATTTGCCAACACAACTGAGTTGAGTGGTAAGAAATTTCATGCTTCGCTGCCAAGTTATAGACTGATCACCTCTCGGTCGTCATCATCCGACATAAAGCTGAACAAAGATGTCGCTTACTTTCGAGTTTTTACAAGTGTATTTGGGTTGCAATTACGAAAGAACCACATCAAGCATTGGATAGTTCCCAAAGGGACTTACCATATAAAATACCGTGCAAGCTGGACAAACCGCCACGATCAAGTAGAACAGTAGTTCAAGCCATTTGCATCTGGAAATGAGATCCACGGTAACAGATGACATGCTCTGGATTATCGTAAAGCAGCCCGGAAAATGTAAGCATACAAGAGGGAATGGCCTGCGAGTGGAAAACCGTAGACAGGTTAGACAGAACGCGGGTCGGCTGTGGCCCAAAGTGTGCGCTCGAGCAAGCAGTCATTGCGCCCTTTATAGATGTCGACTCATTCTAGCTGATAGCAGTAGGCTTCTGGATCAATCCACTTGGGTCGCAAAGTTCAAGTAAGTGGTCCTCAAGACATCAGTTTCTAATCCTGTGAGTGCCGCGTAGCGACTATCTAACAAACGACGAAATTCCTTCCTCATCTGGCCGAGCAAGCATCATTGGTTCGAATAGCTAGACGCCTTTTATAGATGTCAACTCATTCTACCTGATAGCAGTAGGCATCTGGATTAATCCACTTGGGTCGCAAAGTTCAAGTAAGTGGTCCTCAAGACATCAGTTTCTAATCCTGTGAGTGCCGCGTAGCGACTATCTAACAAACGACGAAATTCCTTCCTCATCTGGCATAACCATCTGACCAGCTCATACTAAGTCAGCTATTCATGTTCGAGGACGTACCACTGCACCCTTCCCACGCTCCTCCAAATGACCAATCAATAGCAGAGTTGAAAAGTACCGGTAGCAGTGGACAGCTCCACCGTGCACCAGAAGCTAAGTCTAACCTGGTTATCTGTTCTTAATACAACATTTTATAGGTTGTCCGAGTATTGTGAGACCCGTCGTGAATAGAGTGAATCGTCCATTTTAGAACCAAAAACCACCTTGATTTGGTTTCGTGCATTTTGGGAAAGGCGTTGCAAGGAAAAGAGACGTGATGGTTTGGTCTGACGAGCGAGCCATTCTATGGTCCTTTTAAGGACCAAGGAGATGCTACAACCTCTCGGAAGAGATGCACTTTTTTCAGTTTCACATCACTCTCATTTTGAACAGTCGTCCTCCTGTCCTGGCTCAATTATTCAAGTGAATCCACACCAAAAGGGAGGGAAGCACTGGATTTGAGTTTCGCTCTTGTTAGAGCTCACCAGCAGTGCATATCCAATAGACGTGCCGGAATTTGAACTCCGGACACCTGACATACGAGGCGAACATGATACCACTATCCCACCAGCGTATGTTGGGCGTACGTGAATTCTCACGTCTGAACGGGCGAAGGTGTTCGCACTTGAGCAATGTGATTAGTATGCCCGACACATCATCGATACGACGACCCAGTAACTGTCCTGGTCGTGACGATCGATTGGCCCGCTTGTCAGGACTTTCCAGTCGGGTTGAACAAGGTAACATGTGGCGTGGTTCGACACATGCTGAGATGCAATCCCAGTTAAGACATGGTTGTCTTGATTGCATGCCACCTGAAGGAGGCACGAGGGTTGAGATACACCCAGGTTACTCAAGACTAGACAGGCTCAGTTGAGATGTCAGGGTTGTTCAGTAAGTTGGTGTCTTACTTGCCCACTGAGCCATCTCGAGCTACTGTAATCATGCAAACTGAAGCCGAAAAGGGCAGCACCTTGAGGAATTGCACAGTAATCGGAGTTGGAAGGGTCAATGAAAACGTATGGTTGACCTTCTTGGGTGTGCACCAAGGACCGTAATCTAAAACCATGCATTGTCTGGTGTGATTAGCTGGCAATTTCCACCAGCGCACAGCTAGATGACTCAAATTTTGTCATGAATATCCCATTCCATATCAGTGTGCGTGCCAGGATTTACCATGTCGATTCCCCCTCTGGTTCTCGACTCCTTAATAAGAATGACCTTTTAATTACACAGTAAACCAATTTCACAGTGAATCCCCTTTTTGATGGGGAATTTTGTCCTGTAATTGAAGCCAATCTACGCTGAAAATCTGAGAAACACTGTTCTGTTCCCTTAGTTCCATCGCAAAGAATCGTGTAAGCGTTCTAAATATTTGATTTCCCCCCATATCCTGCATCGCTTCTCGGTGTCTTGCATTTGTTGTCTTGGCCATCAGGGGATGGCGCAGTGCGCATCCCAAAACGGCACTCGTGGATGATACTGTTTACCCCGGCTGGGCATGCGTCCCTAAAACGCCGAAGTTGAGCAGTATTCCAATATACCAACAATCGCTAAGTAGCTCAGAGGAAGAATAAATTCACATGATGAGCGAAACTCGTCTTTGAGAAGTCATCGCTCCCCAAGCCAGTCAGCACGTTACGTGGTGGCGTGAATTCCGTGATTGAACGATGGGTTGCACTGAGTACAAGTTATCGCGCTTCTGATCAGCTGCTCATGACCAAACAGTTTAGTATCCAGCTACTAGCCGCGAGGTCACTGGTTCGAAACCCCTGCTCAGATGTGGGCATTGATTGCCTCATTGAGGCAGTTGTTGTAGCGAATGTTGCCTTCTCTCCATCCCTCGGTTTCCGGTTGTCCCGTTTACAACAATTTTTCAACCAGTGAACCGACTCGGCAGATACACTCATTTGCATACCACTTTCGTTTTCACGGGAAACAGCTGAATCTCTCGTTTACGATGAGGGGCGAAACCGGTTTGTTGAAGTGTTTTCAGCCACCTTTTCAGTAGTGTGTTGTCTATTCGGCCTACCGTCTTGCCATCCTTGTTCTGTTTTTAGGTGTTTTCCCAGTAATCTTTGTAGCTGCAACATACAGCGTATTTGTCACATCAGCTTCTGCTTTTGTCCATTGATTAAGCCGAATAGTCCAAAGCCGTGTACGTATGGCAAAGGTGGAGCCCGAAGGTACACTTCAGTAGCGAAGCTTATCAGAATTTCTACGTGTTTGGCCTCACCTCTGTTCGTTTCTTTGAGGGTGAACGATCACACCTGTCATGCTCAGTGACGGCAACATGAGGCATAGTAATGTTCATTCAACTGCGGTACCCACTAGCGTCTTGATTGCATGCCACCTGAAGGAGGCACGAGGGTTGAGATACTCCCAGGTTACTCAAGACTAGACAGGCTCAGTTGAGATGTCAGGGTTGTTCAGTAAGTTGGTGTCTTACTTGCCCACTGTGCCATCTCGAGCTATTGTTCTGTTGTTTTTCGTTATAAGCGGTTGTTGGCTCAAGGTTTGCAGGGAACAGGTTGCAATATGAGACACAGTCTGACTGAGTCCCGTAGGATCTTCGCGCCTTCCTGCCTGGGACGCGCGTGACCTTGCTCGTATATAGTTAAAAACCCAACCCCACTTGCTCGGATGCCGTCGTCTCCTAGCCCGGCTGTCTAATTAAAGTTCGTCTGTCGCGTTAGACTTAGTTTATCTCGGGCGAGGTCTGCCAAGCAGCCTGGCAGATGGCGCCTTACTTCAATACGATGCTGAGGTTTGTTCATTTCAACGCCATCCGTCTTATCAATTGGGGTGTGAATCAATCAAAAAAGACGCCTTTCCCTAATGCTGTGAATCCAACAGGACAGCCATCATATTTAAACATGTACTGGTGCAGTAGAGCGCCGATAGGGACGCGTACACAGGTTAGGCAAAGTCCCAAACTACTCACAAGTCATCACCATCATTGTAAAATATTGGTGCGTCACCGTCGTCCAACCATGTCAATTTATTTGAATAAAGCACTGCAGTGAAAACGGGGAAAATGTGGCTTAAGCGGCTGCACATTGTTAAACAATCATAAGTGCCCGAGGCGCCTACACCTCCGCGCCCAGTTTGGATAGAAACGAGGAATTCAGGTGATATTCAATTGAGTCCCCTGTTAACACACAGCGAATTTGCAAATTAGTTTGTAACTACACTTGCTAACAAGTTGGTGTTTGAACTCGAAGACTACGCCTGCCTAATGAGCCTCAAGAGGGGCAAAAGGGACAATGGGTTATCGAAGAGTATCTACCAGCGTTATGAGTAATTTTGTGTCAAAAGAAACTGAAGCTAGTTCGCTGCCACATTTTTCGATTTTGCCAGTTAAGCATGGAAATGTGTCATGTGGCTTCATTTTTCTAGATCGATCGAAGCGAGAGCACCAAATTCTTTCGTCGCCCCATCTCATGATGGTCAGCTTTGGCTCATAGGGCTTTAACCGAAGTTAGTTTCCCCTTGGCAAGGTAAAAAATCGTTCAGTTGTAGTACCCTTTAAGTGCCTAACTGCCATGCCACCAAAAGGAAGCACAAAGGCTGGGATACTGTCAGGTTGCCTAAGCCTAGTCAGGGGAAGTCAAGATGCAGAGGTTGCGTTTGAACTACAGACCTTCCGTTCAGTAAATCTACGCTCTAACAACAGAGCTATCTCGCCTCATCTTGACAGGGTGATCGTTTCATTAAACAAGGAACGCATTTGCGAAATGTGCTACTTATTTCTTTGCAGCGACTTAACTGACAACACGCAACTCACGTTGATATGAAAGAACCGTAGTTTTAATCATCATCCCAGCCTGTCTGAAAGTGACCTAAAAATCACCCGTAGTTTTGTAAAGTTGTGTCAGATGGTGGTTGCCTCTCTCTATGACACGGCATCACACATTTTTCTCTCTTCCACAGGCTTGTCCTTCGCGACTTCCATGCGTCCTGGGGTCTATTCACACTGTGGCTTGTGTGGATTGGCGCGCTCCTGGGAAGCGTTTTCCAATGCATTTACCACGAACGGTGAGTTACACTCAGTTACACTCCTTAGTCCATGCGTACAGGCCTCTTCATAGAATTTCTTCTAAATTCAATCGTTCTACGTCGCTTTTTAGTCGAGCCAAGTGTTCAAGACTGAGTTCCCCTATTTAGTTGACATCCGTCTGGATGTGCAGTTGGTAACAATGACGCGTGCGATTCCCCGCGCCGAACGCCCATTCGAGAAGTGAGGAAATCAGAAAGTTACGGGACGATACCCTTCCCCTCAGATTATTTCATCTGTTCGTGATTAGTATTCAACTGAGGACAACAACAGCTACAATATTGATCGTAAATGATTAATGGAATGAACTGGAAGCACACCCGGGCACTAATTACTCTTCTTGTTTGTCTTTTTGACGTCATTTGAACCGGGTAACCCAGTGTTTAACTTCGCTGACCGGGTTCGAATCCCAGCACAAATACCTTCAACTTGACCGCTCCAAGAAAAGAAGCGGACATATACTCTTTGCAGATACTTTTTTCAAGTTTAGATTATCCCAAACAACATGAGCTGCTTGAACCCGACGTAGAATTCGCTAGACTCCCCGGTCCTGTTCCTCCACATGTAGATGTGGACAGACCACCATTTCTGAACACTCTTCAAAATGTTTGGTGAACACTTTTCCTTCCGATCAATCTTACTTAGAGGTTATTTGAATCTCCCATTTGTGCTGAATAGGTGACCGAATTTCGCTGATTCCTTGTCCTAATAATTTTCTGCACTCACTTTCGTGTAGTGGTTTTACAATTTGTCCTTATCCCGTTTCATGTTCGTGTTTTCTGTGTGTAATTCAATACCGTCGTAAGGGTAGTGTATTAGAGCTCGGGCATCCAAACTACGGTCCGTAAACTTTAGTGGCCGTTAGCATCACCAATAGGGAGCTAACATGTCACGTGTCTGTTACACTCAGGGAGGACTACGTCCAGCAACTGCCAAACCGCTTGTCACTTCATATCCGGGATTTCAAGACTGGTCTAGCCTCAGTACCGTGTGATTAGTCCGTGAAAAGCTCTATGAACCCGAGATCGCTGCACCCGTCAGACAACTGAACAATTTGAAAATTCCCGAGAGGAAACCATGTCTTAACTGGGATTGCATCTCAGCATGTGTCGAACCACGCCACATGTTACCTTGTTCAACCCGACTGGAAAGTCCTGACAAGCGGGCCAATCGATCGTCACGACCAGGACAGTTACTGGGTCGTCGTATCGATGATGTGTCGGGCATACTAATCACATTGCTCAAGTGCGAACACCTTCGCCCGTTCAGACGTGAGAATTCACGTACGCCCAACATACGCTGGTGGGATAGTGGTATCATGTTCGCCTCGTATGTCAGGTGTCCGGAGTTCAAATTCCGGCACGTCTATTGGATATGCACTGCTGGTGAGCTCTAACAAGAGCGAAACTCAAATCCAGTGCTTCCCTCCCTTTTGGTGTGGATTCACTTGAATAATTGAGCCAGGACAGGAGGACGACTGTTCAAAATGAGAGTGATGTGAAACTGAAAAAAGTGCATCTCTTCCGAGAGGTTGTAGCATCTCCTTGGTCCTTAAAAGGACCATAGAATGGCTCGCTCGTCAGACCAAACCATCACGTCTCTTTTCCTTGCAACGCCTTTCCCAAAATGCACGAAACCAAATCAAGGTGGTTTTTGGTTCTAAAATGGACGATTCACTCTATTCACGACGGGTCTCACAATACTCGGACAACCTATAAAATGTTGTATTAAGAACAGATAACCAGGTTAGACTTAGCTTCTGGTGCACGGTGGAGCTGTCCACTGCTACCGGTACTTTTCAACTCTGCTATTGATTGGTCATTTGGAGGAGCGTGGGAAGGGTGCAGTGGTACGTCCTCGAACATGAATAGCTGACTTAGTATGAGCTGGTCAGATGGTTATGCCAGATGAGGAAGGAATTTCGTCGTTTGTTAGATAGTCGCTACGCGGCACTCACAGGATTAGAAACTGATGTCTTGAGGACCACTTACTTGAACTTTCCGACCCAAGTGGATTGATCCAGAAGNGGGGGCTACCTATGCAAACTGGTGCTTGATGGACCAGTTTTTGCCGGATGGTGTGAGGACGGTCCATTGTGGAGCAACACGCACACGTGTAAGATCAAACAATCAATTTTCAACATAGCTCTCCCAGAGTCGAATTGCCAAAAACACAAACTTACCACGGAGTATAGGAAGCAGCGATGAAAATGTATATCACAACACGATCGCATTTGTGTAAAATCACACGAATTCGGCTGAAAACGGGAAAAGTAAGCGGTGAAAGCAAGGTGGAAATCGATAGACCAGGCTCACAAACCACGTGGTTCGAATAGAACCACGCTCTCTTTTCAGTGTGCCGAAAACGATTCAACTGTAGGCCTATTGAAACCAGATGTACCAGAGTGGTGTACAGCCGAGGCTTGGGTATTGAAAGAAGCAAGTCACACTCCAGAACTCCAGCAAGCATGGGAAAAAATGAGAGAGATGCTATCCGACGATGAGGCTACGACATGAGGAACATACAAGATAGGCTGGTGGAGTAAAAGTGAATTGTAAGCGACGGACTTAGATCATAAGAAACTACGTCGTTAAGTCGTTAAAAACTGTCTCCGACGATTGATGGCTTCGGAGCACTGCTCTGGTCTGGTAAGAACAGTAATGTTGAAGTACATTGAATGGCTTTCGGAAGATATAACCCGCCCACGATAGATGAAATGATGATACTCTATAGGTTGTGCTGGCTTGGTCACGTGCTCCTATACCAGTTAACCGATGTTCTCGGACAGCCCTGTCCGCACAACTACGCACTGCGTAGAAGCAGGCCCGAGAAGGTTAAGCAATGGACTGGCAGCAAAGTATGGAAGCCATTACTGGCAAATGCAGCTGCGCTGGTCACTGCCATCACTTTTGATTGTAGACACATCAATGGCTAACAGACATGGTCCAGTCGCGCTCATGCATCCAAGCTGTCACCTCCCTGATGAAAAGTGCACTGCCACCCCACTGCTCACCCATCAATGTCAGCTGCCACCCCCGATGTGTAGCTATCTATCCCTAATTCTCCAGAGCTCATGCATCCAAGCTGTCACCTCCCTGAGGAAAAGTTCACTGCCACTCCACTGCTCACCCCTCAATGTCAGCTACCACCTTTGATGCGTAGTTATCTATTCCTACTTCTCCAGACCATCGGCGAACGGAATATGGCAGCTGAAACCACTGTGCAACAAGTATGCAGCTTTCGTGATGCACTACTCACAAGGTTGCTGAAAATTCTTCGACAGTTCACGACCGGTTTCGTTCTTCTTAAGGCTCATCAGATAGGTGCAGTCCCCGAGTTACCGTCAACCTTATTTTTTTATTTGAAACTAAATTGCACGAAATTGCAAAGTTGGTTTTGCGAAAGTTCACCTGGAACGCAGCTAAATCTCTCGTTTGTGATGGGATTCGTACATAACAGCGCCTTGTGGAAAGCCTGTCATAGAAGTGTTTTGCCATTCCGTCGAAAGCCGCTAAGAGCTAAATACACTCATTTATATTTGTAAGTTTGCTTGTATAGTTTAAGCTGACATGGCTAAGTGGAAAAAACGCTAATGATAACTCAGTACCATGTGTCTGAAGATCACTACCAGCGTTCAGCACAAGTGTTTACTTACAAGCTATGTAAATGTGTCCAGGTATAAATTCCGGAAGACAGTCAGAATCTCAGACACTTGGCTCGATAACTTGAGTGGTAAGAGGGCTGGGTCTTAATCTCATGACATTTCAACCCACATGGAAGACGTCACTACACTCGTCCTAACCCCTAAATTAGAGCGGCGTTACGAGACTGTCCATAAGACCAAATCGTTCCCACGAACAGTGAGGCTCGTCAAGGTCGCCTCTGTCATACTCTCTTGTTCAGATTGTTTATTGACATAATCATTGAACGCACGCTTCCTTGGTTGGAGTCCGTGGGACTATATTTGTATGTACTTAGACACCTTACAAGACACGGCACTAGACCGATTGCAGTGATGATCAGACTATCTCCTTCTAGCCGTAGTTTGTCGATGTACGCCGGAAGAACGTTGAATGAGGTGCTCAAAGGACGTTGGGCCAAAGATGGCATTTCACTCTCATAAGAACGCGCCCGTTTGGATTGCTGTTTCACAGTGTACGTAGACCCGCTGCTCCCAGTCCCCTTTCTTTTCCTTCGGCTTTTTACTGGGGTACTATTCCTCACTGACCAGTAACTACCACTGACGTAGTGTAATCAATGACACTAAAAGTAAATGAAGAAATCATCCAGCTATAATAGTCCTTCGGTACCTGGTTGTCGTGCTACCCGAAGGATGAGATACGCCAGGTTGGCCAAACTCAGACACAATGAGCTGAGACGCCGGGGTCTGGATTCGAACCACGGACCTTCTGATCGATGATTTCGTGCCTCAACGACTGAACTATTTGAAACCATCTCGAAGCCGTGGAAGTGTCCTCTAAAATCTCTCAATGAATCACGCGACCACTAAAATTTCTAATCCGTTCACAACAGTCTGTCTTAAAACAGAACGGAAAATTGAGAATCGGTAAAGATAATATTCGACCAGTGGTCGGAATATGCCAGACCTCCTTAGTCTTGAACTGAGTTTAACAATTGTAAAAGTTGAACAGTGTCCTCCTTGAGAGGGTCCACGGATCCACTGGACAAACTTTGCTTCTCCCTCTGACACGTTTGTATGGCAGTGAAGCACGATTATTTTTTCTGGTGCTGCTGTCAATGATGATGATGATGCCAGCGCAGTGTCTTGGGTAAGGGAGGTTAGTAATCAGCTTCGGGGAATTGTGACATGCCCTCAAAATCAGGACCGCCCTAAGTGACTTCTGGTGTAGCGGTGATACTACTGATGGCGAGGCATGCGAGTAGTACGTCTTGTTCTTGTAAATTCGCTTTGCGTCTCTTGCAAAGGGAAATCTGTTGCGGAATTTGTGGAGTCCCTTCGTAGCATTTGCTTGGACTTGAGCAATGAATGATTGGAGTCAACGAGCATCCAGGAAAGTTCAAGAAGACGCGTTCAGGAGAAGATGGATGTCCAGTTTTTGTAAATAAGATGCTAGTGAGAGTTTTGCTTCCCTGTCCAATAGTCTGTAACTGGTCATTTGGCATTTTCTAATAAATAACTCCGCAGCAAAGGCCTTCTTCCTTTTACTGGTATGACAGGAACATCAAATGTTTGAAAAATCCTTAGGCATGCGGCTGGACCAATAGTAACCAAGATGCCAGCGGACAGGTTCTAATCCCTACACATCCGAACTTGTCTGTCCAAGAGGAAAAACCTCGGTCTATGAATCTTTGAATCCGGAGCTAGCTTTCATTGAATGATGGCTGAATCATGTGACACTGCTTAACTAAGGTAGTAATGACAGCGCAAGCACGTGACAATGTAAAGAGCCATCACACAGATCATTAGCGGCAAAACTGAACGTGATTTTCCAGCGGGCTGCGCACGACCGGACAGAATCGTAGAAATGTCACTGTAAAAGTGCACCACCGGGTTAGAGAGACAAAAATCACCTGGGTACAAAGCCGTTGACATTATCTAGGTGAATTAACAAGGTAGGCAGTAAGAAGACTAGCTTAAAAGCACTCGTACGCAACTCACTTAGAGGAAAATACCCACTACAATATGGGAAAAAGGCGGATAGGACCGACATCGATTACAATTCTAGTGCCATCAGCAACTGTCATCGACAAACAGCAACATCTCTCAAATGAAACGTGCCCACATACAGCCCAAGCAACAGTGGTACACGAGCACTCGTGAATATATGCGTAAAACAAACACACGACGCGCATGCATGTGGGTAGAAACAGGCAACACGATGTGTGAACTGCGGCTAACAGCATCCGCTTTTCTCGATTTGCTCGGATCGCGTCTAACGTTTGCCTTTTCAAAGTGTGTCATCTACGCAGTTGTGCACTCAATTAAGGATCAACCGCTATTTGATATTCACAAAATTCCTAGAACATTACGTTTCGTTTTTGCCAGGCCACCGATCACCCTTCTTGCATTATCCATTCTGTTGTGTCCGTGAATTCAGTGTACTCCATCGTGAGTAACACTCACCCGTGAACCGCCAAGAGCAATACATGTCATTCTCGTTTTCGCAGATACAGACAGGTAACAACTTCAAATCACAAAAGGCATCAGCCGAAAACACTGCGACAACAATGGCGTAACTAACCGACCGATTTGGGCTATTCAGCACCGAGGGTAGAACGCGAAAAACGTCTTGGGAGGTAGATGAAAAAGAGTTTAGGAGACGAATTCATCCTGATAAGAAGTACGTCGTGGTCGAATAGTCGTGTAAAGCAACTGCCTCGAGTTGTCCATGTTTAAAACACAGGAAGACGAGCTACAACTCACCTGCAGGGTGATGTCAGGCGGACACAAGATAACATATGGAACCGAGAAACGAACGAAATGGTATTCGGTAGTAAGAAACACTGAAACCTAGGCATTTAGGTGGTGGCTTGTTGCTGTTGATGCGACCAAGTCGTATGGCAAAACAAAATTCGAAACAGCTCGAGCACGGAACAATCACATACTTTTATTTATTTGCAGAGAATGAGTCGGATGAACAATATCCCAACAGGTCGATCCGTAAAGAAATCAAGGTTTTTCTTTCGAACAAAACGGTCACAAAACCGGCGACAAACAAGCTGACAACGTTATCAGTTAACGGCGATACCGGGATTTGCTTTCCAGCAAAGTAACAGAGCTTTTCGCTGCAAACAAGCTCGGGTCCTCATCTTCCAATACACAATGCGCATTTCTCTTGGTACACATTACGATTCGCCAGGACTGGCGACTTCGAACAACGGTCGGTTGACCCAAAGTGCCGCACAGCCTATCAGATAGTAGACCACTCACGAGCGAACATCACTTGAACGTGCGAGGGGGGAGAACAACGCTGTTTGTAATCTACTAAAAACCCACGATTTTTACATTTACCAATATAGATTGGTCTCTGGTGGAACCAGTCTTTCCGATCGATTTCTAGGAACTCAACATAAGAAGCATGCGATATCATGGCATTGTGTGGAGGTGAGCGGTAAAACTTGGAGGCGAAATTTCTGAGAGATTTACCAAAAAGAGTATTATCCGTCAGCAATTGCGAATAACGAATGCTTCAAATAAAGGAAACTACTCACAAGGTTGCTGAAAACCCTTCGCAGCCCACGAACTGCTCTCTTGTGAAAACCAAAATGATTTGCAAATGAGTGTATTTCTCGAAAGCAGTCCAATTTGGGTTCAAGTAGAACATAAGGTTGACGGAAACTCGGGTTTTCAGCAACCTTGTGAGTAGTTTCCTTTATGAAAATATACTGCGATATCTCAAATATCGTGCCAACTGAAACATGAGGTGGCCTGTGTGCAGCACATTCAGTTGTAAAACTTCATAAACGAGAGATTCAGTTGAGTCTCTCGTGAAAACCAAATTGATTTGCAAATGAGTATGTTTCTCGAAAACGAATGCTTCTTTTCATGCCGGCCTCCTTAGAGCTCCACAAACCCATACGAAGCCGAAAATGGCCAAAAATTCGTTGAATAACTGCGTCCGGTAACAAGCATGGAAAATGAAGCGTCCCAAGTTGATTGTCAGTGGAGACAACCTTAAAAACGAGTGGCCATCTACTGCGTTTGTCTCTCAACTGGTAACCGACTCACCTACTGCATGTTTGCAGTCACATCTTGGTGCGTCGTTGCGGAATCGGGGTACTCAGGCATTAAATCCTGACAAAAACAAAAGCTGTGGAATACTGCCGCCGGTAACCAGACCAACAATAGGGCGACTACGATGGAGCTGTAAGTCTGATAATCAAAACTTGAATGGCCAAAATCGCTCGAGTGAGCCACACAATATGGGGTGATAATTAGGTGTGAATTAGTCATCTGAACCGGATTATCTGTCAGCCTTCCGTAGGAATGAACAGCTATTAACGACCGAATATCCTAAACAGACTACCCGGAAATGTCACTTTGGATCCAGTACGTATGTGGTGTTGACCATCCCCAATATGACAGTGACATTTATACATTCCCCCTACGGCACCGTAGATGTTTATCGATTCTGTAACCTCGACAATATTGTGAACAAGTTTGTTGATACATACATGTCATGCCACACCGGACCAGACCAGACCAGATGACCAGAACCGCCGTCCAGTTTCAGTAGCACACACCAAACCGTACATCTACTGTTGGCTGAGTAAATAACTCACCTGTTGTGTGACAGAAACGAGCACACATGGAAAGCAGAGGAAGTGAGAAAAAGGCATACGACCGCCATGCCGTATATGATTGCCGAAGATAATTCGATGTGATTGGTTGATTTGGAGTAGAGCCGTTGCAGGCCAAACATACTAACAGGAATCCACGGCAAATGGGTAGCACAATTGGCCACGTGTTCCAAAGTTGTAGGGCAGTAGGCCATACCTGGAGGAGCTGGCGTATTTTTCCATCTTGGAGAGTCACAAAAAAAAAGACAGAAAGGAGTTGAAGAGGTGAGGGAAAACCTAAAATTAGCAGAATGAAGCTGTATACGTGGTGAGTAAACCCCCTTCCTCCCCGTGTGAAGACCATCCATGGGAAATGTGAAAAAGGAATGTTTGTCTCGAAAACGGTGAGAACTTCGACTTCACTTAATATGCGTAATCCTAGGCCTATGCAGATTCAACCATTTGGCTTGTGAATGCAGCTTCGTTCCTGTACAGGTATAGCATGAGTAAATCGTTCGGTGCCTAACTGCCATACCACCCGAAGGTTTCACGAAGGCTGGGATACTGCCAGGTTGCCCAAGCCTAGACAGGGGCGTCGACAGGCATAGGTCGGGTTCGAACCATGGACCTTCTGGTCAGTAAATTCCCACTCTAACCATCTGGGTCATGAGTATATTCGAATATGGTTACCTGTACTTCTCAGCGTCACAGTCATGAACGAATAAAAATATGACGACTTCAAGCACCCAGTCAATTCGACAAAAACTGCACAAGACCAGCCGAAAAGTGGAAGAACAACCGAGCATCGACGCTTTTATCAAAAGAGTGAGATCCCTCGTCTTCATCGCCTATGCTCCATCGGGTTCCAGTGAGGCTTTTCACTCTGTTGCTTACGTTTTACGTTTAGTCAATTCTCGGACAAGTTCAGGTGTGGCAAATATTGGACCTGAGAGAATCTATTCCGGAAAATCAGCTCAGGCAACTGGGTATTCAAATCGATTTTACAAGTATTCACCTGGCTGCGGTGAGGATGGGCATGAGAGTGGGTTTGGAGCGCCGCGTGGTCTTCAGAATGGTTGCCGCCTCTGGCTTGACAGACTGTGCACATGGATCACCAACAAAAATATAAAGAAACAGCGAGGTGATGGGTAAAACGAACAACCAGACTGCGTCGAGGACATTATATCATCATGATCATCATCATCACAGTAAGGTCCAGTCTCTTCGTGGCGGCGAGGACACTACATGAACGGGTGACTAACCTTAACAAAACTTTGGGTCAAACGACCCATTACGACCAGCGTGGTCAAATAAAAACTGACAACAAAGCAAACTGTGGTCCGACAATTCGACTCTGATTTCTTTCCACCTGAACAATTTTGTGGAGCCTCAAAGGCCGTATGACTTGCACTTACCTAAAGTGATTTTCCTAGAAAGAACTACTGATTCCCTTTCTTCTACTACTCAGTGAATAGTTTCCAGAAATCCAACATAGATGTCCTTGAAGGATATGTTTTCCTTATCCCGAAGATGCTTGCTTTGTCTTCTTATAGGAACAAAACTCTTAGTTTAGTCGCTGACTTTCTTAGTTCTGAGTACCAGGTGTGGTGTGCAACGAAGTAAGGCACCTTCAATGACGATTTCGTCACCTTCAGTGAAGCTAATCTGTGCTGAAAAGCCGACAAGCACTGTAGAGTTTTTTCATCCTTATTCGGAATCATCATCATTGCGCATCTCACAAAACCCGAGGACAGCTAGAACTCTCGATCCCCCAGCTGGTAGTTTGAGCATTAGCCGTTTGGTGACAGACGTCTGAACAACAGGATGGAGCGTCGCGTTCAACCTTTCACTTGAGGATTCATTGTTCGAGGAGCCAGTCAACATGTGTGACTGTATGATATGGATGGGCGGTGCTTTATCTGTTCCAAGTGAGAGTTGATCAACCGCTCGTGGTCGAACGGATGTGTCTCTAGACCACTGACCGGGAGGTCGCGAGTTCCAGTTTCTCTGAGGTTTCGAGAAGTTCGCATTGCTCATGATTTCCAATAAAAACAAAACGTTATTGGTAATTTGTATGCGTGGTTCAGTTGGCTCTTATTCTGGAGGCAATCTACACAGGGGTTCCATTTGCTACAAAAAGAAAAACTACGGATTTACAATGCGGATAGCTTTTTAACGAATTGACTTAAGTGGAGGGCGACTGTAATTTCTGTTCAAGGATGAGGAAAGTAGCCTACACAATGCGGATTACTGACAAGACCACCGACTAGATAAAACTAGTAGCGAGATTTACTGGTTCGCAAGGGCCTGGAATCTGGAAGCACGAACGCCAACAAACATGTGGGAACAGCATTCAAACAAGTTCCAAACAGAATATAAGGCCCTTTTCGACCCCAGTACCAGCGCGCAATGGAAAAGGATGAAACAAAAGCAATGCATCTCACCTTATGTTCCTGCCCATGCTGTTCCAGAACTACTGTCTTACATTACACTTCCGGTGAATGCATTTCCTCCAGCCTGAAAAGAAGACGGTGCACGCGTTTCGAGATGGAGTGGAAGGAAAATGGATTGGAGCACAATGGCAAGCAGTCACTCGTTTCCGTTTAGTTGGATAACCGAGTAATTATGCACGATTATTCGGGTTACCACTGCGTTTAGGTGCAAGAGAGGAGCATGAATTAAGAGGACAAAAGAACACCTAATTTGACGAAAAAACAAACCCGCCGGTTGCGTGTCAGTCAGAGAAGAGCACCTCGAATCACACACCAGTCACGTAGACGATATGAACCAGCAGAGTTGAGACAACGCTGGGGCACGCCTTGCTTAATTTGGGGTATCTGCTACTCGGAACTCGGTTTCAACAAATGGGTCACGGCAATTCAGCTGATTATCACTCATGACTCGGCCAGCGTACCTGGTGCCATACATCAGCAGTTCTGTTCCAATGTTCCTATAGCCCGCGTGAAGCGCTCCATGGTCACTGATGGCTGAGTTCAAGCGGGCTTCTTTTGTCCTTCATAGGCCAGACCTTACAACCGTGAAGTAGCACTGGATACAGCGCTAGGTTGAAAACCTCTTTCGCCGATAGACTGGGGTCCACAGGTTCTTAACGTAAGAGGAGGAGGCGAAATAAAACAAGACCGTTCATCCGTGACATCCATTCGGCGCGAAGCTGTTGTGCGGTTTGAACAGGTGCATAAAGGCTTGGATACTGCCCGGTTGCTCAAGTCTATGCAGAAGTAATCGAGAAGCCAGGGTTGGGTTAGAACCACGCACCATCCGTTCGGTAGCTTCGTGCTCTGACCGTTGAGCCATCTCGAAGGAGGAAAGCAGAGGGCGCTTTAGCTGTTCTGGTATTAAACGCACCAGTTCTGCAGTCCGAGGTGACATGATCGCATAGATAGGTACACCTGTCCACTACCTTGGACAATTCTGATGCTGTGGTCAGGTCCAGCGATGCAACAAACCGGTCTTTTAGTGGCATTTTGAAATCGGAAGACGCCGAGTCGCGCGTTGATTACTCGACGTACAGCTGCATGGGACCGGAACTAAAAGGAGCGATATCGACTGAAAACTCCGTCACCTACAACCAGCAAACTAAGAACAAGCATTACTCCGACAAACTTTTGTCGGATACCAGCAGGCGATAATCTTCAACCCAGGGCACTGAGGCGTACGACTATAATGTTCATGAATCCAGTCTTTGAAAGCTGTAGTTATGTGGGGAAAACGCTTAAGCAAGCACTGGGATTGGTGGAACCGATAACAGTCCCCGAACATCATCCGGGAGCATAATGACAACTAACCTCCGCTATTCACGTGCATGGTGCTTATTAGTGGTTTCCATTGTCAAAATGCCAAGAAAACTATCCATATTTTTAATGCCTTCACTCCGTTTCAAAACAGGAGTTTGGACTTTCAAACATTCCAAACCAACGGAGGAGCTCACCTAATTTACTGTTAATTCCAGGTTTGGAATGTCGATGTCGCCGATCCAAACCAGGCCCATATTAACCGTATCTTATGATGTATGACGTGATGGCTGATGGGTAGCGTCCCAAGATTATTGGTTTCACAGGATCTCTGCCGTCAAGTCCCTCTTCATAAGTCTTTAAAATGCCTCGTCATCATGATCCACACATCTTCGAAACCATTTTATTTATGCGGGACACTCATCGACAGCGAACACGATCATGCTGGTATGGGCTGGTTTGTTGTCATGTTTGAAAACCATTCTTCTGATGTGCCTTTCACTGACGAATAAAAATGAGTGGATGAATGCTGTCTTGAAGCAAACGTTGACTGTGATATTTCCGTTGAGTACAGCTGTCTGGAATAGTGGCACTTCAAACTGTAACAAATCTATCGGTGTGACTGCTGAGTGAATACCTTTAACCTGTAACAAGTCCAATTATCAATCAACAGTCAAAACTGGACATTTTATCACGACTCCCGGACGTCCGAGTGCCTGGACGTTTGGAGCTGTGCCATGGTGTGGTCAGCCAGCTTTGTTCAAAATAAAAGGCACTTGCGGTACATCCTTTGTGCAAAGAGCGAAATTGAGAGGTGCGTTCGAATCCGAACAACCCGTTTCATAGGGATACGTCCCCAATAAACCCACGCCGTGCATTGCTGGATCGACTTTGCGTTATACCCTGGGGTCTTTGGAACGATACCCATTTAAAATGTCTGGTAGAGTGTTCAGGAATGATTTTCACCGAGCCAATTTCACCACAGTATATTCTTTTCTAGTCAGACTACCATGCAAGCAAAATTAGTCTCCGTACCATCCATTTCTGAGCGATAATCCCCGTGCCAATTTCCAGTTAATCCAAACGTTCACACTCAGAGCACAAATATCGACAGAGATCTGCTTTCTGAAACGAAATACCCAATCACTCACGCTGCTGGATGGCAGATTCCCCGTTTTCCAGAGTAACGTAATAACGGAATAATAACGGTAGTAGTGGTTCATCTGTGGCATCCTTTCGGTGCAAAGCTGCCACGCAACTCAAAAGAAGCACGAAAAGCACGGGATACTGTTAATGTCCAAATAGGGTCAATTTAAAAACAGAGGTTTGGGTTCTAACCACGGACCTTCCAGTCTGTAGCTTAGCGTCTGAAACGCTGTGCTATTTCGAGATTCCTTACTGCTTGATACCACCTGTGGGTCTATTGCTCCATACACAGTGTCTCTTATTTTTAAGCAAACGATTGACACATGTTTTGAGTGTCCCGCAAGCGTTTCCGTGCTCCGGAAACGACTAAAAGTGCGTAAAAAAAGTGTAGTTTTCCCTCAATAATATCACATCAAGAAAATAAGCGTATCCATCCGCATTATACAGACGGCATTTTAGGGGCAATACGCATCTACATTTTGTGCTAATGCATATATCCGTGGTCGAAATGGGAAGGCCAGTTGTTAGACGGTGAGAATAAATTAACGTGTTCTTTTAATTTCTGTTCCTCGCGCAAGATAATGCAACTGGAAATTCGCGAAGCACATTCATATGTACATTAATTCGATTTTACTGGGAGACTCGAAATCCTTCGTCTACGACATTCTTTAGTCACAGTACATCAAACATAGCGGCTTCTGTTTAGAACAAGTACTCAAAAGATGGACCAAAGTTGTTTTCACGTACAGCGATTCATTCCACAATCATTTGAGCATTTTCAGTAATTTAGTGTCTATGATTACGCCAATTATCCCAAATGTACCTGACGGCAACTTATCCACAGAAGCAAAGAGAAACGGCACTATAAGAGAGCCACTAAAAAAACCGCAGCTTTCTTCACTCAACTATACAACTAGAAAAAGGTTCTGTGTGGCAGCTACCGCGGAAAGGTATGGAATTCCCTTTGAATTCTCTCGGAGTTGTAACACATTGCACTGCCCAGCATCTTTATCGAAGGGGAACGCAGATACCAGAGAAGTTTGATACATTTGAAAAGTGGCTCAGGGACGAAGCAACCGCGAAAGTGGCAAAAAAATGGGCGTTGTGCTTTATCAGGTGGAAAAGCCTCCCAAAGCACTCAGGGTTCGTAATTTTTCCAGACATACACTGGCCTTTTGAGGTAGGTAAGTTTGAGTCCGTGTCTGAGTTTCAATAATCAGGTGCGTCAGGTGCACAAACGGATACACGCTGAAG